GCTAAGCTGCCACCCCAGGGGCCCAGGCCGCTCCTCCTCCCAGACGAGGCGGCTGGCCTCACCTCGGCAAATGGCACCGCACACTCGGGCTCTGTGGGTTCTGTGGATTGGACCCTCGGATGTGGCGTGTAGTCCCGCCCCCTCCCATCTACTCGTCCACGCCCTGCCGCCCGCCCAGCCTGTCCCTGACCCTGGCAGGTGCCACCTCAGGAACCTGTTAGGTGTGGATCATCCCCCACTAGGCTGCGGGGGCCCCAGGAACAGGACGCCCTGTCTGGCTCTTCTCCGAGAAGGCGCCAATACACTGTCCAGTGAGTGCATGATGGCGGAGGGAGCTGGAGTGGGGGCGAGTGGACAGCGCCCGGGGCCACCACAGGGAGGCAGGGAGCTCTGGACTCCAGCGTGGACTTGGGATGCCCAGGAGTCGGCAGGCAACCTGGCCCAGCGAGTGGGCACGGCCTGGGTGCCGATCTGTTCCTGGGGTGAGCGAGGCAGGGACAGCCACGATGACCCAGGGCGTGGGGGGGGGGGAGTCTTGGAGGGGGTCTTATTTGTCTCTTCCCTCCCTCCCACCAGTCCCGGTCCCCACTCTGCCCTTGACGACCACCTCCGAGAGATCTGCCCCCCCAGTCCTTCCTGTGGGTCCACGGCCCCTGCCACCCGACGTCACAGCTGCAGGAGCGGCCGCGAGATGTCCACGCCCTGATCCCAGACCCCATGACCCTGAGAGATGCTCTGGCAAGATGTGGCAAAGTCAAGGGCCTGGGGGGAGGGCACTGGGCTGTCCAGGCGGCCCTAACTGTCACCATCGGAGTCCTTGACGCAGGGCACGTGACCGCAGACAAGGACGAGGCACAGATGGGGGAGGGAGAGGCAACGCAGCCACAGCCAAGGACGTCTGGAGCCCCCGGGAGTGGCAGCGGCAGGAAGGACCCTCCCGGAGTCTTCAGCCAAGCACAGCCCCGCCCAGCCCAGACGGTGGCCGCCCCGCTGCAGGTGAGGAGAGGACCCCCCGCCCCGCTGTCCTAGGCCACCTCTGAGTGGAGGCTCGTTCTGGGGGCTGCAGGAACCCAGCACTCTGGTCCCCACAGGAGCATCAGCGCCCGCGGAGGCCTGAGTGGCTGGTGTGGTGGGCACAGTTCACCAGGACAAAGAGCAGGCTCCCCCCCCCCCGAGCCAGCCACCGGGTCACTTGCCCGGGTACTGACACATGGCTGCTGAAGGGGCGAGCTCTCCCTGGGGTGTCACCCGGGGCCCCACCTGCCAGAGGCAGCCCAGCGCCTGCCCTTGTGGTGGAAACAAACGAAATTCGCCACCACCAGCCGTGGCCTCTGAACGCCCCAAGGACCTGCGACTTGAGGACATTCCGGGTCCAGTCACACTTTGCCGTCACCGCCCCGGGGTACGGGTGGGGGAGGCTCATGGGCCCCAGAGCCCCCACACACGCACCTTCCTTGTGCGCAGGGCACACTCCAACTGGCACCTGTCCCGAGCCTCAGCTCCGAGAGAGACCGCGGGCGGTGTGGGGCGGGCCGGGAGCCTGCTGCTCACCATACAACCGACACCGAGGCCCCCGGCCGCCCGCTCGTCATCGAAGTTGCCGGGGCTCCAGCGTGACAGCCCGTCCCGAGTTTAACAACAGATGGGCTCCCTCTGGGAAGCAGGGTGGCTGTCCGTTTGCCCAGCTAAGCTTCAGAGGGAAGCCGGCAGGACCTTAAATTCGAAGGCAGTCATCTATCTTTCAAGCGAATGCTTTTTGGATAACCGCACAGGTGCACTCGGCACCAACGTTTTCGGTGCCTCCGAGGTTTGAGACTGAAATAACGTGGGCCGACGGCTGGGATGCGCCGGCAGCCACACCCTAAAAACCGCCAGCGCTGCCCCACGCCCAGGCGCCACGTCCGGGTGGGTGCTGGGAGGGGCAGCACGGCCACGGCTCAGCCCCACCTCGCGCCAGGCTCGTCCTGGAGCTGGAGGAGACGGACGGACGGCACACGGGCTTGGGAGCCACCAAGACCTCAGAGGGACTCACAGAGGGGGCCTGACGGGCACGTGGTGGGGGTGTCGCTGTCACACCCGGGGGGGGCAGGGGTGACATCAGAGCAGAAACCTCAGTGAGGGAGGACACGAGCCGAGCCATGGGGACCTGGGGGAGGTGTCGCGGCGGGGGGGGGGCTGGGGGAGGTGTCCCGGCGGGGGGGAGGGCTGGGGGAGGTGTCCCGGCGGGGGGGGGGGGGCTGGGGGAGGTGTCGGGCGGGGGGGGGCTGGGAGACGTGTCCAGGCGGGGGGGGGGGGACCTGGGGGAGGTGTCCGGGCGGGGGGGGCTGGGGGAGGTGTCCGGGCGGGGGGACTGGGGGAGGTGTCGCGGCGGGGGGGCTGGGGGAGGTGTCCCGGCGGGGGGGAGGGCTGGGGGAGGTGTCCCGGCGGGGGGGGGGGGCTGGGGGAGGTGTCGGGCGGGGGGGGGCTGGGAGACGTGTCCAGGCGGGGGGGGGCTGGGGGAGGTGTCCAGGTAGGGGGACCTGGGGGAGGTGTCCCGGCGGGGGGGGGACTGGGGGAGGTGTCCCGGCGGGGGGGGGGACTGGGGGAGGTGTCCGGGCAGGGGGGCTGGGGGAGGTGTTCGGGCAGGGGGACCGGGGGGAGGTGTCCGGGCGGGGGGCCTGCAGGGTCTCAGCCCGGGGTCATCGCCGAGGGCAGGCCCCGGCCGGGCAGCGTCCACCTGGGGGAGGGAGCCAGGGAGGGGGAGGGCCCGCCTCGGCGAGTCGAGCGCACGCTGCAGCCCCCGCTCTCGCTGGCCTCTGGGTCTCCACCATCACCATCTCCAGCCGCCTCCTCCCCGCGGCACACACCACGTCTCCCCGCGGGCCACGGGCGGGCGCAGACTCGGCGGCTGCTGGCTGAGCCCCGCTGCCTCCCCGGGCTGGACGCGTCCCCCAGCGCCCTCGTGTGCACGGGGCGCCCGCTCGCCAGGTCACCCGGGGCGCACGGACGGGCGCAGAGCGGAGCCAAGCTGGGCCCTCGGCACCGCCCCGTCCTGTGCCTTCCTGCACGGCCACGGCCAGGCCCTCAGCGGGCTCCGTCCCTCTCGCACACAGACTCCGCACGCTGGCCGAGGCCGGACCCCGGCGCTGAGCCCGTCCCTCCGCTGCTGCCCCACGGGGACCCGGGCATGGGGCCAGCCCAGCGGGGAGGGCCCGCCGGCGTCTGCTGTGGTCCAGGGGCCGTGGGTGCCCCGGGGCCAGGAGCGGCCACGTCTGCGTTCGGTCATCACAGCTTAGCACCCAGGCCGTGGTCGGGACGGCCAGGGCAGGGTGGGAGTGAGCAGCACCCGAGGGGCGCGCCCAGCCACGAAGCCGGGCTTTGCAGACAGCAGGGCCTGGATCCGGCCGCGCCTGAAGCCGCCGCGTGCAACCCAGGCACTGCTGCAGGCAGGGAGGCTGCGCCGGGCGAGCCACGGCCTCCCGTGCAGCCCCCGCCCCGGCGCCAGGGCGGCTCTCACCCCGGGGCGCCCGCCTACCGAGGGGCCAGGGCCCAGGCCTCACCGCCACAGGCCAGCGGGCGGGGGCCGGCCGGGTCCGAGGGGCCGAGGGGCAGCTCCCCGCCCCCACCCCGCCGTGTCCCGGCCTCGGCCTCGGCCCTGAGGTCAGACCCGCGCTTCCGGCCCTGAGGGGACCCCTCGTGTGCGCACTTCCGGCCCTGAGGGGACCCCCTCGTGCCTGCGTGCGCACTTCCGGCTGAGGCTAACCCTCATGCGCTAACTTCCGGCCCTGAGGGGACCCCCTCCTGCCTGCGTGCGCACTTCCGGCCCTGAGGGGAACCATCCAGCGAGGAGAACCATCGCGCTCACTTCCGGCCCTGAGGGGACCCCTCAAGTGTGCGTACTTCCGGCCCTGTGGGGAACCATCTAGGGCGACCACCAGCGCACGCACTTCCGGTCCCGCACTTCCGGTCCTGCGGCGAGAGGCGTCCACAGGCAGCGGCGGGCAGGGGAGCGCCCACGCCGGCCCCGAGGCCCCGGGCTGGGGCTGGGGCTGCGGCCACCTCCCGCCTGGGTTTCTCGGGCGACGGACACGGGGCCCCTGGGGGCCGCAGGGACAGCTCGAGTGGCTCGGTTCCTGCCGCCCACGGGAGGCCTGGCCCAGCAGCCGCCCACGCCCCACGCCCAGGCCGCAGCCCCGCTCCTCGGGGAAGCCCCGCCCGGGACCGGGCCTGGCTGTGGGGTCCGAGTGGCTGGGAGAGTTCACCGCGAGGTGACCAGAAAGGACGGGCCTGGCCCAGAGCGGCCCAAAGGGAGCAGCAGCCCAGGCGCTCACGCTTTGTTCAATGAACGAATGAACGAAGCGCCTCCTCCGGGAAGCCCTCCCGGCTCCCAGGTGACCACAGGTTCCCGCAGTGGACTCGTGGCGCCGGGGCTCTAGAAGCTGCCCTGGGAGGGCCGGACCGCGGGGCCTGGGCGTGGTCGGCCTCAGGGGCTGTGCACTTGACCGGAGGACCTGAGCGCGCGTCAGTGCAGACCGGGGCTGGCTCCACCCCGGATGCTCCAGGCGCTGCTGCCGCCACAGACATCACCAGGCGGCAGGACCGGGCGGAGGGGCGGCCAGCACCCACAGCGAGAGCGCGGAGCTGGACCCAGCTCCTGGACGCAGCTCACGGCCGCCCACGCACGGGACGCCATCGCCGTGACCATGGGCGTCTCAAAACCCCTGCCGTGTAGTTTTTCTAAAATTTTAAAGATTTATTTATATGAAAGGTAGAGTTACCCAGAGAGAGGAGAGAGAGAGAGGTCTTCCATCCACCGGTTCACTCCCCAGATGGCCGCAACGCCCAGGGCTGGGCCAGGGAGAGCCAGGAGCCGCTGCCGGTCCTCCACGCGAGTGCAGGGGCCCACGCGCTCGCGCCATCTGCTGCTGCTTTCCCAGGCGCACCGGCAGGGAGCTGGGTCAGAAGTGGAGCAGCCGGGACTCGAACCGGCGCCCACTCGGGATGCCAGGGCCCCGCGGAGGCTTAACTTGCACCGCACCCCGCACCGGAGCCCGCATTCCCGGCTCGCGTGGCCGGCAGAGCCCATCTCCCACGGGGACGGGCCGGCTCGCCGAGGACACGGGGGGGTGGGGGTGGCTGGCGCTGGTTTTAGGAGGGAAGCAGCAGGCTGGGAGCTTGGCCCTGGTCCAGCCGGCGAAGCCCCGCCCCTGCATCAGCTTTGAGGCCCCTGGGCTGAGTGTATGCACGGCCCAGGTGTGTGGGGGGCCCTGGGCTGAGTGTATGCACGGCCCAGGTGTGTGGGGGCCCTGGGCTGAGTGTATGCACCGCCCAGGTGTGTGGGGGCCCTGGGCTGAGTGTATGCACCGCCCAGGTGTGTGGGGGGCCCTGGGCTGCCTGGTGTATGCACGGCCCAGGTGTGTGGGGGCCCTGGGCTGAGTGTATGCACGGCCCAGGTGTGTGGGGGCCCTGGGCTGAGTGTATGCACGGCCCAGGTGTGTGGGGGCCCTGGGCTGAGTGTATGCACGGCCCAGGTGTGTGGGGGGCCCTGGGCTGAGTGTATGCACCGCCCAGGTGTGTGGGGGCCCTGGGCTGAGTGTATGCACCGCCCAGGTGTGTGGGGGCCCTGGGCTGAGTGTATGCACCGCCCAGGTGTGTGGGGGCCCTGGGCTGAGTGTATGCACGGCCCAGGTGTGTGGGGGGCCCTGGGCTGAGTGTATGCACCGCCCAGGTGTGTGGGGCCCTGGGCTGAGTGTACGCACCGCCCAGGTGTGTGGGGGCCCTGGGCTGAGTGTATGCACCGCCCAGGTGTGTGGGGGGCCCTGGGCTGAGTGTATGCACTGCCCAGGTGTGTGGGGGCCCTGGGCTGCTGGTGTATGCACTGCCCAGATGTGTGTGGGGCACTGGGCTTAGTGTATGCACTGCCCAGATGTGTGTGGGGCCCTGGGCTGAGTGTATGCACGGCCCAGGTGTGTGGGGGCCCTGGGCTGCCTGGTGTATGCACGGCCCAGGTGTGTGGGGGCCCTGGGCTGAGTGTACGCACCGCCCAGGTGTGTGGGGGCCCTGGGCTGAGTGTATGCACTGCCCAGGTGTGTGGGGGCCCTGGGCTGAGTGTATGCACTGCCCAGGTGTGTGGGGGCCCTGGGCTGCCTGGTGTATGCACGGCCCAGGTGTGTGGGGGGCCCTGGGCTGAGTGTATGCACCGCCCAGGTGTGTGGGGGGCCCTGGGCTGAGTGTATGCACTGCCCAGGTGTGTGGGGGCCCTGGGCTGCTGGTGTATGCACTGCCCAGATGTGTGTGGGGCCCTGGGCTGAGTGTATGCACGGCCCAGGTGTGTGGGGGCCCTGGGCTGCCTGGTGTATGCACGGCCCAGGTGTGTGGGGGCCCTGGGCTGAGTGTACGCACCGCCCAGGTGTGTGGGGGCCCTGGGCTGAGTGTATGCACTGCCCAGGTGTGTGGGGGCCCTGGGCTGAGTGTATGCACTGCCCAGGTGTGTGGGGGCCCTGGGCTGCCTGGTGTATGCACGGCCCAGGTGTGTGGGGGGCCCTGGGCTGAGTGTATGCACCGCCCAGGTGTGTGGGGGGCCCTGGGCTGAGTGTATGCACTGCCCAGGTGTGTGGGGGCCCTGGGCTGCCTGGTGTATGCACGGCCCAGGTGTGTGGGGCCCTACTGTGCGCCGCGCATCTAAAACGGGGTGAACGGACCAGACCGAACCCTGCCCGGGAGCTGGCACGAAAGGGAAGTGGGAGACCCGACACCTCCAGGGTGCCGCTGCCGGGCTGCGCGCAGACGGACCCCGGGCCCAGCCGGCGCCAGGACGCGGCCCCGGCTATTTAAAATTTATCTGAGAAACACAAACACATCACCACCCCGCCCACCTGCTGGTCCACGCCCCCAAATGCCCACAACGGCCGCCCTATCCCCGGAGGGTGAGGCGGGGCCTCCTGCTCTGGCCACCCAATCCTCGGAGAGTGGGGCGTGGCCGTCTGCTCTGGCCGCCCTATCCGCGGAGGGTGGGGCGTGGCCGTCTGCTCTGGCCGCCCTATCCGCGGAGGGTGGGGCGTGGCCGTCTGCTCTGGCCGCCCTATACCCGGAGGGCAGGGCGTGGCCGTCTGCTCTGGCCGCCCAATCCGCGGAGGGCGGGCGGCCCCTGCTATTAACAGAACCTGGGAGAAGCCTACTTTGCAGGCGCCCTCCTGTCTTTGCCCACAGGTCCAGGGCGCAGCCAGGCCGCGGGTGACCGCACAGCGCTTCCGCGAGGGCCAGCCCTGGGCTTGACCGCCGTCAGCTCTCCTGGGCAGGAAGTCACGCAAGGAGATAAACGAGGCTGGCACCGAAGCCGCCTGCCCTCCCCGGGGCTTCCAGGCGCGAGGCCGGCCGTGCAGAGCCCTAGGCCTCCTCTGGGCTCCCTCGGGGCCGCCCAGGCTTGCCCGGTTCCCTGACCAGAATCAAATGCTAAGTGGGCCACAGCGGCGGGGTTTGCACCGTGGCATCCTGCGGACGCTCTCTGCCCCCACACCCAGGGTCAAAGGCACGGACGGGCCGGCAGCCCCTCCCGTGGCTCTGTGCACTCCCGAATGTCCACCTCACTCCTGCTGGGGTGCAAACCGCAGAAGCAGGCGAGAGGAGCCAGCCGTGCTCGGTGCTGGTATAGCGGGGTCTCCCAGAGCCCACGGCACCTCCAGGGGTGGCCGGCACCCTCCAGCCACCTCCCAAAGGGAAGCGGACAGCGTCCGGGCAGGAGGACCCTGCGGTGGGTGGCTGTGGACGCGCCTCCTACGCGGTCCCTGCTGGCCCTGCCTGGCACAGTCTCCCAGGTCCCGCCGTGGCTCCGGCACAACACAGAGCCCGGGAATCCCAAGCTGGGCTCTCCCCGGAGGCCGCCATCTCGCCCAGCGACGACCGGGGCAGGGGCCGCGCGCTCTGGGACAGCGAGGCACTGCCAACAGACAGAACCAGGAGGGCTTGGGGGAAGCCGCCTGCCGGACGGCGGGGCCTGCAGGGTGCGAGCCGGAGCCTGGGGCAGCAAGCCCACCCCTACCCCCACCACGGGGCAGGAGCCTGAGGCAGCACACCCACTCCCACCCCCACCCCCGGGCAGGAGCCCAGGGCAGCGCCCCCTCCTCCGCAGGAGCCTGGGGCAGCACGCCCACTCCCACCCCCCACCCCGGGCAGGAGTCCAGGGCAGCGCCCCCTCCCCCGCAGGAGCCCAGGGCAGCGCCCCCTCCCCCGCAGCAGGAGCCCAGGGCAGCGCCCATCCTCCCCTCTGAGCAGCAGGTGCGCACACGGCGGGGGTCTCCACAACACAGTGCAGAGCTCTTCCTGGACCAGCCCAGCGCTCCCGGGTTACAGCCCCGCCCCCTGGAGCTGCAGCACATCCGCCCCCTGGATGACTCCGAAACCTCCAGCACAAAGTAGGGCCTCAACAAGTCATCCAGGAACTGAGCCAGAAGAGGATGTGAAATGTTTCCAAGAAATTCACCGGCTCCATTTAACCCGACCTCCTCCTGGGCTGGAGGATTTTAGAACCTTCCAGAAAACAGCTGCAGTACATACAGCACCCCACCAAGGTCTCCAGCAGTGGGCGGGGCGGGGGGGGGGACACAGAGACCGGCTCAGAGACCCCAGGAACAAAGGCGACGGCTGTGCGTCCACGCAGACGCCTCGGGCATCGTCGCTGGGCCTCGTGGCCTCCCCTGGCCACCGGCCTAGGCCCCCAGGGCAGCCTCCCCTCCCTGTGCCCTCCTACAGGCTGCGGGCAAAGGGATCTTTTCCCGAGGCAAGCGGGGCAGCTGGCTGGGGGGGCACCCTGCATTTCTGGACGGTGCCGTGGGAGCGACATCTGCAGCTGCTGGTGTACCAGCATGGAGAGGCAAGAGGCGGGGCTCCCATCGCTGGTTCACTCCCCAAATGCCCCCGGTGGCCAGGCTAGGCTGGGGCTGAAGCCAGACTCAATCCAGGTCTCCCACGTGAGTGGCCGGGGCCCAAGCACTCGGGCCATCGCCGGCCCCCCAAGGTCTGCACTTGCAGGAGACTGGGAGCGGAGCCAGGACTCAAACCCAGGCACTGACGCGTGCTGCTGGCGTCCAGACTGTGGTGACAGTGCGTGCCGTGGAAAATGGCGAGGCCTCATCTGGACTAAGACTGCGCAGCCCACGGCCCAGTGACTCCACCCCCGGCACGGCTCCCTCGGGCGTCGCCCCCACATGTTCACCAAAAGCCCTGCGTGGGCACGGAAGGCCTGCTGTCCCTGACCCAGCACCCACGTGCCGCCAGCGGAATGGGCCAGTCACCTTGGGCAGAGCCACAAACACAATCCACACGGCAGGGGCCGCGAACGGACAAGGACGGCCCAGACCCACGTGGGCGACTCTGGCCAGACACAGAGCCGTAGCTGCTGCGTGACGTCACTGACGCGGCTGCACCAACAGCCAGAACCTCCGAGCCGGGAGGCCATCGGGCCGCACGTGCTGCTCCCTTCCCCCAGTGCCGGGTCCCTGCTGAGTTCTCGTGGACGCCCTCCGACGTGTGCAGGGAGGGACGGACCTCTGTCCCCGGGGCCCCGCCCCACACCACGACTGTGCTGAGAGGGGCGGCTGTTAAAGGGGTGGCCACGTGGGGAAGGTGGGTGCCCGGAAGCCAAGGAGAACGGCCTCGCCAGAAACCAGACCCTGCAGCTTCCCGACCCCGGAACCGTTGTGCCGGCCACCCGATCCTGTGGCGCTTTGCCACAGCGGCCGGAGCAGCCTGACCCACGTCCGTTAGGGTCTCTGCGCGTCCCTCTATGCAGCCTCTAGCCTTGGCTGCTCTGCCCTGGAGTCAGGGCCACCGTGCCGAGCGCTTTCCTGCCTCAGGGCCTTTGCACCTGCCGCCCCTCTGCCTAAAACACTTCCCGTGTGTTTCCTGCTGGCAAGCTCCTCTCGTGCGCCAGGTCCCAGCTCAGCCACAGGTTTTCCCTGGACGTTTTCCCGATTCCAAGCTGGGTTCGATTCCTCTGGTGTAAACTCCCAAAATGCCCACCTTTCCCTTCACTGCACCCGTCCCAGCTGGGAATAATTGAAATATCGTCACATATTGCCTTTCCCACAGGACCGTGCGTTCCGGAGGGCGGGGTTGGTCTTGTCCTCCAGGGGGACCACTGAGAAGGAAGCGGTGGACGGACGGACACATGGAGAGATGGACAGACGGATGAATGGGGGGGGTGTACAGATGGACGGATGAATGAATGCAGATATGGATGGAAAACCACGGGCAGGTGCTAGATGGATGCCTGAATGGATGGAGGTACAGCAAAGAACACACATGGATGGGTGGGTGGCTAGGAGGACAGGACAGAGACGCGTGGGTGACTGGATGGACGGATGGACGGATGGGTGAATTTATGAACAAGTGAATGGATGGGCAGATGGATAAATGATGGACGGACTGAGAGATGATGGATGGGTGGGCGGATGGGTGGGCAGATGGATTGAGATGGATGGGCTGACGGATGGATGATGGACGGGAGGATAGGGGGATGGGCTGATGGACGAATGCATGGATGCGTGGACAGGTGGATGGGTGGATAGGGAGATGGGTTGATGGACGAATGCATGGATGGGTGGACAGGTGGATGGATGGATAGGGAGATGGGTTGATGGACGAATGCATGGATGGGTGGACAGGTGGATGGATGGATAGGGAGATGGGTTGATGGACGAATGCATGGATGGGTGGACAGGTGGATGGATGCATGGGGGATGGGCTGATGGATGGATGATGGATGGGTGGATAGGGGGATGGGTTGATGGACGAATGCATGGATGGGTGGACAGGTGGATGGATGCATGGGGGATGGGCTGATGGATGGATGATGGATGGGTGGATGGGGGATGGGTTGATGGACGAATGCATGGATGGGTGGACAGGTGGATGGATGCATGGGGGATGGGTTGATGGACGAATGCATGGATGGGTGGACAGGTGGATGGATGCATGGGGGATGGGCTGATGGATGGATGATGGATGGGTGGATGGGGGATGGGTTGATGGACGAATGCATGGATGGGTGGACAGGTGGATGGATGGATAGGGGGATCGGTTGATAGACGAATGCATGGATGGGTGGACAGGTGGGTGGAGGGATAGGGGGATGGGCTGATGGATGGATGATGGATTTATGAACCAATGAATGGATGCATGGATAGATGAAGAGACAGGTGAGTGGATGGACAGATGGGAGGGTGGATTCATGAACAACTTATGTGTAAGTGGACTGGCGGGTGGATAAAGGGGTGGTTGTCCGGATGAGGGGTGGGTGGGTGGACTGCGGACCGGGTGGGTGAGGGCGGCCATCCAGGACGCAGCCGTCCGCAGCAGCGCTCCGTCTGTAAGTGCTGTGTCACCGTGACCTTCCCGGTTACGCGTGCAGTGAGTCAGTGCTCCGCGTTCTGCTGACTCGCAGGAAGTGACCTAAGAATACACTTTTGAGGCTTTCATCGATGGGGAAATGGTGACTTTAAATATTTATGTGTCAGAAGTGCTAAAGTTTGGAAACTTCTAGAAAACATCCCAGACTGTGATGAACTGCCTTGGAAAGCCTGCCTGGGCCGTCCGGCTCTCTGGAAGGCAGTGGCTAACGGGTTCGTTGGAAAAGGGTGAAGTCACTGCCCGGGGCCGGGGTCGGGGCTGTGGAAGGTCCTGCGGGCTGCGCTCCTCCCCCAGCTGCAGGGGCAGAGACGGGGGTGGGGCCCAAGCGCCTCACCCCAGGGCCACCTGCACAGCCCCTGAGGGTCCCTATCCACCCCTCCCCCCAACTCAACCCCCTGAGCTCCTCCGTCTCGCACCCACCCCTTCCTGAGGCCTCGCAATGCTGTTCCCGTGCCTCCAACACTGATCCACCCTTTC